AATTTCAGCTCAGAAAAAAAGTGAATTTGGTGCTGCTGCCAGGAAAGGAACTTTGTAGTCCAGCTCTGGAGCAAAGGAGATGGTTTGGTTGCTTCAGGGTGTGATGAAATGGTGGAGAGACCCTGCCAAGAGGCCAAAGGCAACAGCTCACAAGGCAGAAAATGAGAACTGCTGGTGTTGAACCTCTAAATCAGCATCCCTGAGCATCTGCACTGCCCTCCAGCAGCCCCAGGAGGTGCAGGTGGGGAGCTGGGGGTGCAGTCCCTGGTGAGAGGAATGGAGGATTTGTCTTTACAAACAAGCTGTGGCTCTGCTGGGAGATAAACAATGGGAAGGATTCCACTGATTGGTGAATGGAAAGATATATTTGCTTCTACAAGCAAATGAAATTGGATATTGAAAGATGAAAGAAACAATGGGGAAGAAAAACGCCCATATTCCATAAGAATTAAAAAGGCAGGGTTATACATTTGAGGGAAATCTTTGGGATCAGGCATTTTGGGAAGTCTGAACCTCTCAAGTACCTCAGAAATGGGGAAAACCCCCTAAATTCTGTAAGAATTCAAAATGAAAAGGGAGGGTTGTACATTAGAGGGAAGTCTGATATCAGGTGTTTTGGGAAGTCTGAACCTCTCAAGAACCTCAGAAACGGGGAAAAAACCCTAAATTCTGTAAGAATTCAAAATGAAAAGGGAGGGTTGTACATTAGAGGGAAGTCTGGTATCAGGTTTTGGGATGTGTGAACCTCTCAGGTACCTCAGCCAATGGGGAAAAAGAGAAGGGAAATGCAGCTGGGAAATTGGGATAAAAAGGAAGCTGCATCCTCCAAAAATGTGAGACACCCCAGGGCAATGCCCCATGGCCTCTCCCTTTATTGGAATAAAGTCAAAAAGGACTCCTCTGTCTCCTTTTTGGGCACAAACCTCTGATGTTTGTAGATTAATTTTCCTAACACTGGGGAGCTCTGGGTGCCATCCCTGGGCTGAGCTGTAATGGCCAATCAAGCGCCTTAAACCTTAATGCAAATGAAGGATCCAAACAGAAACCAATCCAGAGGGACACAAACAGGATAAAAAGGGACATCTGAGCCAGGGGAGCTGTGCCCTTCCCCTGGGACATCGGGGCCATCGCTGCTGAAGAGCTGCAGCATTCTCCACAGGAGCGCTCCTGCTGGGCCCAGGCCCCCTTGCTTTGGGCCTTTCTTTTATTATAATAAATGCTGAAATTACTTTTAGTACCCCTTGTTTTAGACCTTTCTTTTTATTATAATAAATGCTGAAATCAGTTTTAATACCCCTTGTTTTAGGCCATTCTTTTTATTATAATAAATGCTGAAATCACCTTTAGTATCCCTTGCTTTAGGCCTTTCTTTTTTTAGAATATGTGGTGGTGTTCACAGGGGTCCCAGGATGAGGGAAGAGATGAGGATGTAACTCCATGTTTCAGAAGGCTGATTTATTATTTTATGATATATATTATATTAAAACTATATTAAAAGAATAGAAGAAAGGATTTCATCAGAAGGCTTGCAAGGAAAGGAAGGAATGGAATGATAACAAAATTTTGTGACAGACCAGAGAGTCCGAGCCAGCTGGGCTGTGATTGGCCATTAATTAGAAACAACCCCATGAGCCCAATCCCAGATGCACCTGTTGCATTCCACAGCAGCAGATAACCATTGTTTGCATTTTGTTCCTGAGGCCTCTCAGCTTCTCAGGAGGAAAAATCCTAAGGAAATGATTTTTCATAAAATGTGTCTGTGACAAGAAAAAATGCTGAAATCACTCTTAGTACCCATTGCTTTGGGCCTTTTTATTATAATAAATGCTGAAATCACTTTTAGTACCCATTGCTTTGGGCCTTTTTATTATAATAAATGCTGAAATCACTTTTAGTACCCATTGCTTTGGGCCTTTTTATTATAATAAATGCTGAAATCACTTTAGTACCAGGACTGTGGTCCCGTTTTTAACACCAAGCTCTGGTAATTACTCAGCCTCTCACCGCCTGAGGGAAGGAATTGGCAGCTCTGCAAAGTCAGGGCTGTGCCCTCCATGACCTACATGCCCAGCTGGGGTTCTCAGCCCTGTTTTTGTTGCTCCCCCTGGCCTCTTTCACGACGAAAGCCCCAATTTCAGTCACGTGCTGCCAAAATCTAGGACACAGAGAGGCAGGAGCTGCGTGGGCCTGAGCGGTGCAGCCAGTTCGAGTTCAATAACAAGTGTTAAAACTACAACCACAACAAAATGAGGAAAGTTCTGAAAGCTTCTGCAATTCAAATGGAGTTACAGCAGAGTTGGTTTTAATTTTGCCCCCTTTTTGTGCTTAAGGTCCCTCACATCACCTCCAGGCTTGTCCCTGGGCCTTGTGAGAGGCTGAAGGCCCATGGAGGAGGTGCTCATCCTCCTCGTGACAAGAGACAATTTTTTTCCTGTCCCAAGAAAGAGGCCAGTGAGGATTGTTTCCTTAGTCCCAGCACATGACTGTCTGTCTGTCCTGATGTGCTCAGGAGATGTCTGTCTTTCCATCCTGCTGTGCTCAGGACACACTTCCACCCTGGTGCTCAGCTGGGATTTGGCCTCCTCATGTAGGCCAACAGCAGATGATGAAGAAAGTTAATTATTTTCCCTGGCAGCAAGTGCAGCACTGGGTGCTCAGGGCTTTGAGGAAAGTTTTTAAAGAGAGAAAAAGCAAAAGCAGAAGGAGCAGCTCCCCCCTGGCAGCAGAAAGCTCGAGATGCAGAATTTGGGCTGGGGGGAAGCTCAGCCCTGGGGCAGAGAGCCTGGGAGGTGATTTAGGCTCTCAGGACTGGGGCTGCTGAGCTGGCAGCTCTCTCAGGGGGAGGATACCCAGCAAGGAAACCCAACTTCTGTGGGATAACAAAACCAGAAACCACCTCCTTTGATCTCTACCACGGCTTCGTGCTCTTACTGTAACACCCAGACTGCCACTGAGATTGGCAGGAACTACCTCAGCCCTGCTGGGGCTCACAGCAGCTTTTGGGGAGCCAGAAGGAGCAGAAGGTTGGGTTTATGGTGTTTTTCACCCCCAAACACTGATATTTTGGGCTTAGCTGATGCTGGGAGCTGAGGGATCTGCAGAGCTGCTGCCCACAGCCAGCACAGGTCAGGCTGCAGCCTGGAGGGACACTGGGTGATGCTGGTGCCACGATTCCAGCTGGAATTAGGCCACCTGTGATAGTGCCCTGGATCTCCCAGCTCTCCAAGCTGCCATTTGGGGCTTTTTCCCCTGTTTTTTTTAAGCTGTACATCCCATGGACAGAGCTCCAGCGCTGGGAAGATGCTGCTGGGGGATTGCACTATTCATGGGATTGCTCCTCCCATGGTGTTTCCCTGCTCTAAGGGATCAATGCCAGGAATCTGGTGAGAAATTTGCTTTTAAATGTCACAGACCTCAGGTTTTCTCACTTCCCTGGTCGTTAACACAAGCAAAGGTGTCCCTGGGGGTCCTTCCCAGCTGGCTCTGTGCCCTCTCCCAGCCCAGGGACACCAGGCACAGCATCCAGGGCTGGAACTGATTTACAGCCCTGCTGAGAGCCCACAAGAACAGGACAGAGGCTGCCTTCAGTAGAGAGTCTTTATTAGCAAAAATAAAGGATTTCTTGTCATATCATTTCAGATAAATAGGTGGAAGTTCACCCAGTGACAGGAGCTGTGCTGATGTTGTCCTTGGCTCCAGGGCTGTCCTTGCTTCTCCCACAACATTGAAGGTGTTTGGAGGGAAAGACAAGCTCAGCACTGGCTCAACAGGGGCTTAATGTGCTTTGTAAGAAGCTTAATTTAAGTTTTACAGTCTTTGGCTGCCCTTGAGCCTGAGCTTTCAGCAGGAGGAGCGACCCATGGAGCGGCATTCCTGCCCTGCTTTGGAACATCCAATTCCAGCAGGAATCCCCTGCTGCCACCAGAAATGTCCACAAAGAATAAATCCCATATAAATAACCTCTCCTCAGCTGGGAACTTGCACAGCAAACACCAAACTGGCAGTGTTTCATCAGCTGGGGGCCTTTAAACTTCTAAATATTAGAAGTAAAAGCCTCTCTTGGGGTTGTGGCATTTTCCTCTGGCTCAGGGTCCACCGAGGTGAGGAGGAAGCTGAGCCCTAAAATCAGCCACTTTTGGGGGCACTAAAGCTGCTCCCACTGCTCCTGGGGATTCAAAATCCAATCCCAGCAATGCTGGGAGCAGCCCCATGGATTTGAATGCAAATTACCCGAGCCACCTTAAAATGGTGGTTAATTAAATAACCTCTAACTTGTAAAAGAAAATAAACAGCAGTGAGGAAAACCCAATCAGAGACTGGAAAACAGTAAGGTTAACTTTGGAAAGTGCAGAGTGGCCAACCCAGCAGCTCTGGAAGGCAGATACTGAGCAATATTTAAGTCAAGTTCTATTAGAACCAAACATTTCATTCCTATTATTAATTTTCAAAACTTAGTCTGGACTAATTTACAGGCTGAAGTCTAAAGTGGAGTCAGCCATGCTGTTGCTGTGGATTTTTCTCCTCCTAAACACAAAACCACCTGATTGCATAAATAAATAGAGATTTAGGACATGAGGAGAGGGTCATTTGCCTAAAATTAAATTTTGTTGAACTCAGAGTTGACCTTGCTCCTAATTCACTTGGGATAAGCTCAGCTCATTGTCTGCCCTCCAGAAAAATGCTGCTTTGGTTGTTTTGAAGCTATGAATAAAATAGCACTACGATAAACAATATTAAAATATTAAACAATAAATAGTAATTTACAAGCTCATCACTCCTTTCTTCAAAACATACTGTAAACATCAACACTGAGGTATTGGAAGTAATAAATAATAAATTCAACTATTACAAAAATAGCTCTTAAATACAGTATTAAGCTGGAAGTTATTGTAACTCTTAACCCGAACCTTGAGATAACTTAATTTGAGCTCTTGCAGCCTAAAGTGATTTTTAAAAAAGTAACAGGATTTGGTGTGGAAAATCCAGACCCAGGGGTGCTCTCAGCTCCTTCTCTTCATTGTTAAATATCTTTCAATGTAGTTGATGAAGATGTCAAACTCTCCCATGGCCTTGTAGATTCCATTCCTCTTCATCTGCAGGGGAAAGCCAGGGGTGTCACATATATGTGATGTACAATGCCTGGACAAATTCTCCTTCCATGGACACCTCCAGCCTCTCTGCCCAATCCCCTGGGAATTCCAGAATTCCCACCCTTGCTCCAGAATTCCCATCCCTTTCTCCAGAATTCCCATCCCTGCTTCAGAATTCCCATCCTTCCTCCAGAATTCCCATCCCTGCTCCAGAATTCCCACCCTTCCTCCAGAATTCCCATCCCTTTCTCCTGAATTCCTACCCCTGCTCCAGAATTCCCAACCCTGCTCCAGAATTCCCACCCTTCCTCCAGAATTCCCATCCTTGCTCCAGAATTCCCATCCCTGCTCCAGAATTCCCACCCTTCCTCCAGAATTCCCATCCCTTTCTCCAGAATTCCCAACCCTACTCCAGAATTCCCATCCCTGCTCCAGAATTCCCATCCTTGCTCCAGAATTCCCATCCCTGCTCCAGAATTCCCACCCTTGCTCCAGAATTCCCACCCCTTGCTCCAGAATTCCCATCCTTGCTCCAGAATTCCCACCCTTGCTCCAGAATTCCCATCCTTCCTCCAGAATTCCCACCCTTGCTCCAGCATTCCCACCAGATTCTCGCTCTCTGCTGTAAGAATTTGTGTGATTCACGACATTTTTGGGTTCTGCTGCCCCTCTGAGCCCCCTGCCCTGCCCTGCCAGGAGGTTCCTCCTGTTCCTTACCCTGCTGAAGGTCTCCTTGACGTGCTTCATGCTCCTGCTCCTCTCCTCACAGGTGAAGGATTTGTGCTGCAAAGGGGCACCAAAGCACAGCCTCAGCCCCAGGGTCCCTCCCCAGGGCTCTGCTGGTGGCTGTCCCCTCCTCCTGTCCCTTGGCCCTGCTGCTCCCCACCTTGCCCTCCCCTGTGTGCAAATCCCTGCAGGTTTGCACCGTGCCCTGCTGGGAGGAACCTGGAGTGAGCCCAGCCTGGGCTCTCCCAGCCTGTCCCCAGCCCTGTGTCCCTGCTGCCAGTCCCTGGGGACAGCAGATCCCTTTATGGGGCAGGGTTTGTCCCATCTGAGCCCAGTGATGGGCCCATGGCCACGCCAGGTGGGATTTCAGCAGCTCCAGCACCCAGGTAAGGGACAGATCTCCTCCTGCCCTCCCTCTGTGTCTCCAGCCAGGCTCTGATTTGCAGGGCTGGCTCCACCATCATCTCTGAGCTGCTGTGGGCACAAACCCCATCCTGGACCCCTGGGTCCCACAAATCCCATCCTGGATCCCACCAACCCCATCCTGGACCCCACAAATCCCATCCTGGACCCCTGGGTCCCACCAACCCCATCCTGGATCCCACAAACCCCATCCTGGACCCCTGGGTCCCACCAACCCCATCCTGGACCCCTGGGTCCCACAAATCCCATCCTGGAGCCCTGGGTCCCACAGACCCTGCCTGCCTGGATCCCTGGGTCCCACAAACCCCATCCTGGATCCCACAAACCCCATCCTGGATCCCACAAACCCTGCCTGCCTGGATCCCTGGACTCCACAAACCCCATCCTGGACCCTTGGATCCCACAAACCCCATCCTGGAGCCTGGATCCCACAAACCCCATCCTGGACCCCACAAACCCCATCCTGGATCCCACAAACCCCGTCCTGGACCCCTGGATCCCACAAACCCCATCCTGGACCCCACAAACCCCATCCTGGACCCCTGGATCTCACAAACCCCATCCTGGATTCCACAAACCCTGCCTGCCTGGACCCCATCCCACCCCCAGACCTGCCCTGCTCCTGGCAGTGTCCCCGAGCTGCTGCACCCCACTCACACAGCGTCTCATCATGGCTCTGAGGCTCAGCAGGAGGTTGCCCAGGTCGCCCATGCTGTGCTGGTGCTGGCTGCTGCTCCTCATGGCCCTGGGCAGAACCTCCTCCAGGTAGAATTCCATCATCTCCGACACCGACTGGCAGCCCAGGCTCCCCTGGGGGACAGGAGGGGGGAACCTCATTGGGGACGGTCACCAGCACCAGGGGTGGGTGCAGCCATGATATTTTATGGAAAATCCTTTCCTTAGGATTTTTTCCTCCTGAGAAGCTGAGAGGCCTCAGGAACAAAATGTAAGCAATGGTTATCTGCTGCTGTGGGATGCAACAGGTGCATCTGGGATTGGGCTCACGGGGTTGTTTCTAATTAATGGCCAATCACAGCCCAGCTGTCCAGACTGTCTCAGTCAGTCACAAGCCTTTGTCATCATTCTTTTTCTATTCTTAGCCAGCCTTCTGATGAAATCCCTTCTTTTATTCTTTTAGTATAGATATAATATAATATAATATAATATAATATAATATAATACAATATAATATAATATAATATAATAATATATAATAATATATTTATATTTTATAGATAAAAATATATATAATTTTATATATCTATATTTATTTCTATATAATATATTTATATTATTTATTTATATTATATTATTTAATTTTTATATTATAATAATATAAATTATAATATCATATCATAATATATAGTATTATAATATAATAATATAATATAATATATATTCTATATATAAATATATAGAATTTTATATATATTATATATTTCTATATAATATATTTATATTATTTATTTATATTATATTATTTAATATTTATATTATGATCATATCAATTATAATATCATATCATATCATAATATATAGTAATGTTATATTATATTATATTATATTATATTATATTATATTATATTATATTATATTATATTATATTATATTATATTATATTATATTATGTATATCATATAATAAAATAATAAATCAAGCCTTCTGAAACATTCTCGTCTCTTCCCTCATCCTGGGACCCCTGCAAACACCATCATAGGTGGGTTTGGAGGAACCAGAGCTGGGCCAGAGCTTGCCCAAAGCAGAGCTGGGTGTGGGAGCCACCCTGGGCACGGGGCAGCCTCGTGCCAGCCCAGCACAGCCACACGTGTCCCTGCAGGGTGCCAGCAGCACATGGCCCCGTTTCCAGCTGGCTTCCCTTCTTGTGAAACGCCTGCCCAAGGAGGGGGAAGGAGGAGGAACCAGCAAGGGATTGAGATTCTTACCTTGACTTCCTCCAGCAGGTCCGAGCTGAGCAGTTGGATGCTGAGGTCGTCATCTTTTGATTGCTGGGGGAGGATGGAATTGAAAAATGAATTGAGAAATGAGCTTTTCACTCTTTCCATTTCCTAACAAATGATCCTTGCCTTGTTTGCATTTAGGGTCTCCCTGCAGCAGAGGCAAAGGGCACCCAGTGCAGGGTCAGGCCAGCAGGAAAATGAGATCACAGCCTTTGGTGCCACTGAATTTGTGTTGGGTCAGGCCAGCAGGAAAATGAGATCACAGCCTTTGGTGCCGTTGAGTTTGTCCATGTGAGACTCCTGAGCTGCACAGGGTGCTGCCTGAGGGTGCTGCTGCAGACAGCAAAGCTCCCCAGAGGGGTGGCAGAGCCCTGGCAGCCCCCCAGCCTCTCTGCCAGGGCAGGAGGGCTCAGTCCCCCTGCTGGGGTTACCCCTGTAGCCTCCTGTTGATGGGAAATGGGAGTTTGTTCTCATGGTGCCTCTGTGGCACCAGCTGCATTAGGGTGGGCTGGCACTACCCAAAGAATTCAAGCCTTAAAAGCTGTGCTGAGAGGGTCAAAATATTCCTTCCCAGCATCATCTGGGAGATTCACAGCCAGCTGAACATCTGAAATCTTGGCTGTGTTCACTTGGTGACAAACACAAGCTCATGACATGAGCTTGAGATTTGATCTGGAGAATTATCTCATTTTATTGCTAAAACACATTGACATGGACTAAAAAAGCATCAGAGCTGTGACCAAGCACCTCTAGCAGCCATGGCAGATGCTTTGAGGGCATTGGGTGCTGTTTGGTCAGCAGCCCTGAGGCTCCTGAGATGCAGGGCAGGGACCTTGCACAGGCACCAGTGCAGGTGTTGTGCTCCTCTCCTCATAAAACAACCTGTGCAGGTTTTGTGGTTCTTTCAAAGAAAAAAAATCTGCAGCAAAAGATTTCCCTTTTCACCTGGCATTGACTTCAGCAGGACCTGGTTGCCCTGAAGAAAAAATGATTTCCTTCCTATTAATTCAGTGATTAACTTGATTTGCAATATTTTGGGGGAAGCTTGGCTAGAAGGGTTTGTAGAGGTTCATTGTGAAACCTCCAGTTCGTTGTTAATGAAAAAAATAGGAAGAAGAGCTCGACAGATTTTCCCTCAGTGAGCAACGAAACCGAGCTGCTCTTAATGCAACCAAATCATTTCTGCTAGGAGGAAACTCTTCCCCCTCCTCCAGATCCCAGAACTTTGCAAGAAAGGTAAAAAAACAGACGATAAAATAACAATATTTTCAAAATAATCCCTAATTTCCTCAAATTTGAGCCTGAGCTCTTTGAGCCATGGCTCTTTGACAGATTTTCTCTCACCGAGCAACGAAACCAAGCTGCTCTTAACGCAACACAACCAAATCATTTCTGCTGGGAGGAAACTTCCCCCTCCTCCAGATCCCAGAACGTTGCAAGAAAGGTAAAAAGCCAAAAGATAAAAGAACAATACTTACAAAATAATCCCTATTTTCCTCAAATGTGAGCCATGGTTCTTTGACAGATTTTCTCTCACTGAGCAACGAAACCGAGCTGCTCTTAACGCAACGCAACCAAATCATTTCTGCTGGGAGGAAACTTCCCCCTCCTCCAGATCCCAGAACTTTGCAAGAAAGGTAAAAAAAAAACCGAGAAGACAAAATACCAATACTTACAAAATAATCCCTGATTTCCTCAAACTTGAGCCTGAGCTCTTTGAGCTTGGCGGGCAGGAGCTCGGGGAAGCGCAGGCAGGAGGGCTGGGCGCAGGCGGTGCCCAGCAGCAGCAGGAGCAGCAGGATGGGCACAGCTGTGCCCCTGGAGCAGGTCCTCATCCTGTTCTGCAGATTTCCCCTCTGCTGCAGCTCTCAGCTGGATTCCCCCTGGGAGGGCACAAAGCAGATCTGCAGCTTTCACCTTGATGGAGCCCCTAATTTATACATCACTCCATTTCCTCTCCCCATTTCCTGACGAGCAATATTGGGGTTTTAAGTCAGTATTAAGCCCAAATGTCACTTGGGTTTCCCGTCAACTTGGGTTTCCTGTCCTCTCCTCACACCCCATCAATTTTTTTGTGCTTAGACTCTGCATTTTTTTTTACATTGCTTGTTTCTTGTAAATTTAGCTGTGGCTGTGGAGGAAAGCTGCAGAGACACACAAAGAAGCCAAGGTGCTGCGTGATGTTCATTTATTCTCACAGTTCCATCTTTTATTTTTAGATCAAGGTTGTATTGTTAGAGGGGGGAAAAAAAAAGTGTTGCTACTTTTAAATCTCAGTGTCAAACCTGCAGAGAGCATCACTCAGCAGAATTGCTTTTCATGAACTGTACAAATTCTCTGTCTCTTCCTTTGGTACTGTAATCTGCAAACACACATCATCAACTGAAATCTTCATTTTTAATTCATTTGTTTGGGGTTTTTTTTCCAGTTAATGCACATGTCAGCTGCAGCAAATGTGAATTTTCACTGCTCAGCAAGCTCGGTTTGTGCTCCCAAATATCAGCTGAATGCCAAGTGGATCCCAGGGGAGGATCCCAGCCGTGCTCTGGTCCCTTATGGATCCTCCAGGACAGGATCAGGATTTGTGCCACTTCTTTGATGCCTGGTGTTAAAGTGTGTGAGCAGGTCATAAAAATCCATTTTCCAGGCTTTGAAATCTTATTTTGTTTCCTAGAAGTGGACAGTAGCCCCATCCCTGCAGCAGCACGTCCTGTCTTAGCTGGGACTTATTGTCCCAGCTGTGATAAAATTGTCCCTTCAGAGGTACAGAGAATTCCTGTGACGTCTCCCCATTTTCCGCTTCCCTCTCTTTTCTCCTTCTCTTTCTATATCTATTTTAGCCCACACCCCCTGCTTCCTTGGGATAAAGATTTCACTTATTTATTCAGGAATTTGGCATGCAAGAAAGTGAGAGCGGAGATAAGTTTGGCTTTTCTGAAATCAGGGGGTTTTCTTTGAAATCCCTCATGTTATTTTAAAAGAGTTCATTCTTCCCAGTAGGGAAGCCTTCCTCCATTAGGGAACAAATCCCTTAAATTCTCATCTCCTTCATCACACTGATCTTCTTTGAAGTTGAATTTGTGAACGTCTGAGAGGGAATTCATTGCTGGAAAAATGCTGGAAAAATGCAAAGTATTGTTTGTTCCTGCATACTGAGAGTTTTTCCACTTTATTTTTAGGAGCAGGGGAGAGGAATGGTTGGCATGCACACGTGTAGGAGCAAAGGGGATGAGACATCAGCAAGTGGAGAGTCTGAGGCAGGGAAAGTGTGGGATTTTGTGACTTGTTTTCCTTTCTTCTGTTGCTGTTGCCTCTTCCAGAGGTGATGGGGAAGCTGCTTCTGGGGAATCTTTGCAGGGACATCAGCGCAGCTGAATCATGGCCTGGGTCATGTTTTTGGTGACCCATTTTTGTTCCCCTGCTCTAAATCAGCTGTGGGGTTTTTGGGTTTTTCCTATTGACTGTCAGCAGAATCCATCTGAAAGCAGAAGGGCTGAAACCTCGGACAAAATTGGTCTTAAACTCAATTCCCACAGGCAGGATCCCACCTTCCCCTGGGATCCCACACATGTTTTTGCTCCTTTTGCATTAATTTGAACCGGCCAGGGCTCAATAAATCTTCAGTGCCAAGACCTGGGTGGCTGCTGAGGCTTCACCAGGGTGTGGAAGCTGATGTGTGAGGTTGGTTTATGTACTCCTGGATCCTCAAATCCTGGAGCTAATCCCAGTCCCTTCAGGGAAGGATGCAGCCCCAGGCTCTCCCCTGCAGTGGAAGGGCTGCTCATCCTCATCTGTGGGTTTAGGAGCTGGTGTTTTTATGGGGTACAGGGAAGAGAAAGAGAAGAGAAGGGAAAGAGAAGAGAAAGAGAAGAGAAGGGAAAGAGAAGGGAAAGAGAAGAGAAGAGAAGAGAAGAGAAGAGAAGAGAAGAGAAGAGAAGAGAAGAGAAGAGAAGAGAAGAGAAGAGAAGAGAAGAGAAGAGAAGAGAAGAGAAGAGAAGAGAAGAAAAAGAGAAGAGAAAGACCAGGTTGGAAGAGACCTTCAAGGTCATTGAGTCCAACTCAGCCCCAACACCTCAACTCAACCCTGGCACCCAGTGCCACATCCAGGCTTTTTTAAAGCCATCCAGGGATGGTGAGTGCACCACCTCCCCAAGCAGAACATTCCAGAACTTTATCACTCTTTTAATAAAAACCTTTTTCCTAACATCCAGCCTAGGCAGCCACAGGAGATGGAGCAGCCCCACAGCTTTGGGAGCTCCTTCCACCCTGCCCAGCAGCTGAGCGCTCATTTCCCACCTCCTCTTGTTTCGAGCCACCCTGCCTCTGTCTCCATGAAGTCACATGTGACATCCCCAGCATGCTCTGGCTCTTGTGCAATTCCCCCCAGCCTGTGGTGGGAGCCTGGGCTGTGTTTTGGGGCTGGCAGCAGCGTCAGGCAGCCGTGCCCGTTCCGCAGAGGAAACTCTGGCGTGCGCAGGGCCACTCTCTGCTGTGTTTACCTGCGTTTCCTCTGCCTCGTCAGGGATCTTGACGGTGCAGTTTTGCTGTGACTCAGCCCTGCTGAGCGCTGTGGAAAGGCGGTGGCTGCACTACTACAGAGAGAGCTTCATGAATGAAGCAAACACCTTTTTTCCTAAAGAGTGTCCGGGGGCCGTGGGTGTAGTGCTGAACCTTTAGGAAACGGCTCTCGGCTTTGCCAAGAAAGATCGCTTCAGGAAGGAGAATGGGTGTTCCTCAAAAGCCAATTTTGTGCTTTTACCCCATCTCCCACATGTGGGAACCCAGGACATCCCTCTGGCTGTCCAGGACAGCCAGGACCCCTGCCAGGGGGCTCAGAAACCCTGGCACAGAGCCCAGAACACCTCTGGGTTTGATTATGACCCGTGGAGCAAATTACCAACCTTAGATGAAGATCTGCAAGCCATGACAAATTAAGTAGGAAGATAGTGAATTTATCATGAGGTGAAAAAGTAGATTTTAGGGGTTTTGGTATGGGGGTTCAGGAGGCAAAATGGAGGGAACTGGGCATGCCCAGCCTTTCTCCTTCTTCTTCTTGGCCTCCATCTTCTGCTGTGATGGTGGCACTTTTGGATTGGTTTAGAGTAGAAGCTCAGTGTCTAACACAGGTGATAGGTATTGGGAAGTAATTGTAAACATTGTACAGGTAGTTTTTAGTATAAAGAGATAACCCTGCCCTGGGGGCAGGCAGAGTGCCTGGAACTGTCCTGCTGGATGGACCTCAGCAGGGCAGGAGAAAAATTTTTTATAGGTAAGAAAAAATAAACAACCTTGAGACCAGGGAATGAAGAGCCCTGACTCCTTCTTCGAGTGCCAGGCTGGGAAAAGAGACTTTCCAACTCTTCTTGGGGCCACTCAGACCCACTAAAGATCCCAACACCCAGAAGCTCCTGACAGCAGTGAATTCATCAGAAAACAGCAGGCAGCAAGTGCTGCTTCTGCACTGAAACAGAGGCCTCTGGGCAAATGTTCTCTACCATAATGTGCCAAGAGGAAAGGTTGTCCCTGGCAGGGTTTGGGCTTGGATGTCCTCAGGGTCCATCACTGGAGCAGAGTGGCACCTCGCCCTGATAATTGAAGGGCCTTTTCTTATCTTGGCACTGTTTGATGTGACAAATTTTTGCTTTTTTTTTGGCATTCTTGGTCTCTGCATTGCTTTTGGTCAGAGGGACATTGTGTAGCATCATCTCTGGAGGGGTTTCACTGTCTCTGTTGGGGTTTCACCATCCCTCGAGGGGTTTCACCATCCCTGGAAGGGTTTTGCCATCCCTGGAGGAGTTTCACCATCCTTAGAGGGGTTTTGCCATCCCTGGAGGGGTTTCACCATCCCTGGAGGGTTTTTGCCATCCCTGGAGGGGTTTCACCATCCCTGGAAGGGTTTTGCCATCCCTGGAGGAGTTTCACCATCCCTGGAAGGCTTTTGCCATCCCTGGAGGGTTTCACCACCCCTGGAAGGGTTTTCACCATCCCTAGAGGGGTTTTGCCATCCCTGGAGGGTTTTGCCATCCCTGGAAGGGTTTTCACCATCCCTGGAGGGTTTTCACCATCCCTAGAGGGGTTTTGCCATCCCTGGAGGGGTTTTGCCATCCCTGGAGGGTTTTCACCACCCCTGGAAGGGTTTTCACCATCCCTGGAGGGGTTTTGCCATCCCTGGAGGGGTTTCACCATCTCTGGATGTGTCCAAGGAATGCTGGACATGGCATTCAGTGCTCTGGTCTGGTGACAAGGCAGGGGTCAGTCACAGGTTGGACTCGATGATCTCAGAGGTCTTTTCCAGCCCCAGTGATTTTCAATTCTGTGATTTTCTGCACGATCTATTCTAGGCATAACTTGGAGTATCCCCTGCATTTCCAGGCTGTCACAGTGGTGCTGTTCTTTCCCCATTTCTCATCCCTCCAGATCTGGATGGTCTCCTGCCAGTGACGCTCATGGGGGAAGTAGGGACTCGGTGGCCTTTCCTTCACCCCGTGTTTGAAGTGATGGCACTGCTCTCTCAGCAGCCCAGTGCTGATGACTAACAGTTCCTGGAGAAGCACCAAGTGCTCTGGTTTGTGTTTTTTTCAAGATTTTTTTCCTGCTGGCGAGGCGTGACGTCGGATATTTCAAATATGGAAACCTGGTCAGAACCCGTGGCGTGACTCACGTCGACCTCAACAGGTAAATCCCAAATTGCTCTTTGGAAATTTAACCAATGTCACCAGTTTATCTTGTCCAGAAATGGGTTATTAATCATGAATTGGAGTCATTGGACTTTGATGTGACTGCGAATGTGACGCAGAGACTGTTAATGTTATATAAGAAGTTCTTAGAAGGTCCA